TGTAAATTGGCAAGAGGGACATATTACCACATGTGGTGGGAGTGCTCAAAAGCCCGTGACTTTTGGAACAAGGTTAAAAAATGGCTGGAAGAAATACTAATGATAGAGGTAGAGCTAAAACCAGAACTCTTCCTACTAGGCATAACTACGCAGAAATACGACAAAGGGATACTTTACTTGATGCTACATATTCTCACGGGTGCTAGATTGGCGTATGCACAAAACTGGAGGAATAAAGAAATTCCAACAGAAGAAGAGATTTTATATAAAATCCTATCGTGTGCTGATATGGACAGGCTCACAATGGAAATGAAGGACAAGACAGAGTCAGATTACTTTGAAATCTGGGACAAATTCTATTGTTGGTGTGAATCAAGGAGAACTGTTCGGGTTTTAAGTTAGTGTTAAGATAGAGATATATAAAACTGTATGTTAGTATATAAAGAAACACATTAGAGACTGTATTGTATAGAAAAATATGTATATATAGAGATTAAGAATTATACGTATGATGAGGAACAAATTGTTAGGAATATATACACTGGAATGTTACGTTATGTCCATCTTTGTTTTAACTGTTTTATAAATAAAAAACTTTTTTAAAAAAAGAGTCACCTTGCGCATCCCCCTCCTTACTTCCACCCTTCTAAGGGTGTGGTGGAGTGGAAAGCCTATGAAACCCAGAGTCTGAGGGGCCTATAGGTGTACTTCCTGCACCTGTAGGTGTCTGAGATAAAACCTTACAGTTTGAGAACTGGAGATGAAAAAACTGCCTTCCCAAAGAGGCAGTTGGAAGGGGACTCTCTGGCTCCTCGTTTTGCAGCAAAAACAAAAGCCTCACAAGACCCCTGTTACCTCCTCAAACACCAGAAAACTCGTTTGAACCTACTTGAAATGTTAAAAATATTGTTTTTGAGTATTGAAAAGCAGTTAACTAGGGATGAAAAACAGATGGCCAACTACGAATTGTTAAAATCGAACTGTGCTATACGTGGCTCCAGTAGAGCCGTGCCTCCTTCATAGGTAGGCCAAACAAACCAGGCAAGGCTTTGGGGTCTGCTGGAAATAGCAGAGCTCCAAGAGTTCCCATGGTATGGTCTGCGCACACCCATCCCAGGAAACAGAAACAATGGCCTTTGAAGGGTTATAAACCACTCCCCTCCCACCCACCCACCCCGAGTCCCCCACAGGCCCCGTCTCACCTCAGCTCATCATAGTCAGCGCCGCCAACCTGCCGACTGGCTTTCAGCAGGTCCAGGATCCCACCAGCACTACTGCTGCCTTCCAATTGGTCATCACCAGAAGCATCCTCCTCTTCAGTGGTGTAGTCCTCCTGCAGGCAAAATAAATCCAATTTTAACAGGAAGGCCAATTCTCTGGGCAAACGGGTATCTTGCCTATCTGCTCCAGGAGCACAATAGCGCAAAGTCTAGGGCAGTGATGGCGAACCTTATAGAGACTTGAGTGCCCAAACTGCAACCCAAAACCCACTTATGCATCGTCGGGTGCTGGGTGGGCATGGCACATTGGGTGGGCGTGGCTGTGGTGGTAACTGCAGACTGGGTGGGACTAAAAAGTTCAATCAATCAATTCCAACTTTGCAAGATCTTTTTTTCCCTGCGAGGTTGAAATTGACTGATTGAACCTTTTTTTTTTTTTTTGCACACGGTGGCGGAGGCCTAAAGCAAAAAGGTTTTATAAAACCCAGCTGAAGGCCTAGGATTGGGGCGACGGCATGTGTGCCCACAGAGAGGGCTCTGAGTGCCGCCTCTGGCACCCGTGCCATAGGTTCGCCATCACTGGTCTAGGACAAAATGAGCATTGTTTGAGCAAAATGTGCATCTGAAGCTCGAGAGCATCAGCATTTCTACTAGGCCTAGGTCCCTTACAACGCTTGCTCCTTAAGACAGAGGGAGTTGGCCATGTTTTAAACTGGATATGATTGTTCCTCGGGGAAAGCTGGACCTCTACTGATATGACCCACAAAACAAACATTTCTTAAAATGCCTTCACCATTTCTACTGAATTGGTTTCACTTAGCTAGATCTTGTGATTATTTTAGATTATCACTCTAAGTCTCAGCAGGGGCCAGGACCTGGCTGATCTTGTTTGCATCAGATCTACGTAACCCTTGAATATGAAATGGCCCAGATGTCCTCAAACGGGTATAAGTCAAAAGAATATCTCAGGAGAAGGCAACGGTAAACTATGACCACATTGCTGCCCAGGAAATAGCATGGCTACCATCATCGTTATCATTTTTCCATCCTTGTTTGTGTATAGCTCAAAGTGATGAACATACTTCATACTCCTGCCTCCTATTTTCCCACAATAACCTTGTGAGGCAGTATGTGGCCATCTGGGCACTACAGAAACTACAGTACTGTTTGGTTGAGTCCAACAAAGTAATAACTCTGTCCTTAAGACTGACCTTTACCTCAAAAGGTTTGTGGGCTGAACAAAATGACTCCAGGATGCAGGGAAGATGTTTAGTGCCTGCTGAGAAATTTCTCATACCTTTTTCAACTTTTTAAAAAATGCATCCTGAGCCAAAACCCCTGTCGTGTGCCTCACATCACAATTAACTCCCACTCCTAGATGGTGATCCTACCCAGTTATCACAACTTCACAATCCTGATCACGTGTACCAGACTTACTTCAATGTCAAATTCTACTTCCCCTGGCTCCCGCACTCGATTTGGGTCAGAACAGGGTTTGGCTCGTGGCAGTTTCCGGGGAAATTCTGCAATCGGAAGAACATAAAATGTTAAAATATGCTGTTGGAGACTGAGGAACGGCTGGAAAATCACAAAAACTGTGAATCGAACTGAAATGCATTGATTCCACAAAGAGTGACACGGGTGGCTCTTGTGAGTCAGACAATGGCGATATCTGTATATATACACACCTACATAGGAATCAGCCCTGCAAATTGTGACTTTAGGTAATAGTGATCCTACACGCTCACCTGCATAGGAATCTGATTTGCAAATCATAATGGTACTTACTGCCAAGGAAACATATATGGGACTCACTTGCCATTTTATAAACTGATAGTAATGATAAACAATTAGGGCAGTGATGGCGAACCTTTTAGACACCGAGTGCTCAAAAACCGCCCCACCCCCCTGCCCGCCCCGCTCTGCTGCCTGCCCCACCCCCCCTCCCACTCCGCCCGCCCCCGCTCTGCCCCGTCCCGCCCACAGGGCCTCCTACTGCCTCCACGGCCCGCCGCAGTTCGCCCAGGCGGCCCTGCAGTGCCATGGCGGCCACACCCTCTGCCTGTGCCCTGCAGCATCATCTGTGCGCAACGGGGTGCGAGGGCGGAGTCTTGCCCCTGCTGCCCGGCTGCCATGTCCTTGGCTGCAATGCTCTGTGTGGGCCGCGCCTGGGGGCGGCTCTCCAGGGGGGCTGCTGGTGAGGAGGGGGACGCAGGGGGAGGTGTGGCTGGGGTGACGGCATGCGTGCCCACAGAGAAAGCTCTGAGTGCCACCTCTGGCATGTGTGCCATAGGTTCGCCACCACTGAATTAGGGACTCAATTTAAGCTTTGGAATCAACAAGTGCCCTCATAACCATCTGAAACAGATTTGGAAAGTATGCAACCTCTTTCAATAAAATTAGAAGGTCAAAGATGAAAGAAGAGAATGGAATTTAGGAAACCACTATTGAGGTTGAAGATATGAAACGATCACTCGTAACAGAAAACAGAACGGCAAAGTCGCATTTTAAATTGTAACCACACCCCAAAAATATGCTTAAAAACCAAGACAGTAGCCAGGAATGCAGTATTTAGCTTCCCTAAAACTCCAGTTTTAGTTTTTATAAAACAAGTTTCACGGACTGGTGATAATATTAACCACAGAACAATAAGTGTGTTGGCGGTGATTATTTTTAAGTTGTTCACATTACAATGTGCCTGAAAGCACATAAGCAACTCCTAATAAATTCCAGAAGCCAATAGCTCTTAGCAGACAGATGAGGGGGTTTCATTATGGAAAAGAAAAAAGGAAATGTGCTTTTATCTGCCTATTTGATTCAGATTGTAGAAGAATCTGGTCTCTTGTCTTTCCCTCCAACCCAGCCTCAAGTACAGTACATGCACAACGCAGCCTAACTCTGGGCTTTGCCCCAAAAGACATTTTGAAGGGAGGCCTGGAACAGAGGTGAAGGAGACAGCCAGAACAACGACCAGAGGTAGCACAAGCGAACGCGGAAGAGGTATTTGCCCAACCCAAGAGAAATGCGTCTACCATAGAGAGCCACCAAGCATGGATGAAAGGCGCTACATACTGGAAAGCTTCTTGTGCAGCAGCAGATTCCTCCTTTCCCTGTGTGGCGTTTCGTCGATCTGCAGATCCTCCTCGGAGTCTATATCCAGGGCTTCTGCATCAGATGGGCTGCGTGGGGCTCGCATTTGTGCTCCTTTGTGGCTCCGGGTACGCTCCGAGGCTTTGATTTTCCTGCCCGGGTGGAGGGGGGGGGGAAAGAAGGATGGGAGGAAGAGAAACACCAAAACTGACGAGGCTGACCTGATCTGATGATCTAATTATTGGAGGATATTATGCAGCCCACAATATATTCTCTGCTCCCCTTTTTGGGTCAGCCCTACAAAGGTAGGGAAAAGGATTATTATTTTTTTTCTTAAATACGGAGATGTCTTCTTGGTAAAAGTCACCTTACTGAAGCTAGGATATATGGGTCAACCTATATATGGGGAATACAAATCTCTGCTCTGCCTTTATGGATAGACTGGTCGCCATTCAGCTTCACCTTTCTCTCAGCCCTGAAGAGTTGCTGGGGTATAAATTGGAGGGGCAGGGAAGAGGAGGAACAACAGCAGCTTCCCCTTCACTGCCCTGATCTCCTTGAAGGGAGGGAGGTAGATAACAAAACATAAATATACTCAAGGCAACAAAAGATTCCTCCAGATGGTAACATAGAACAGGGCTTTTCATCCTTTTCACCCATTGTACCACTTTTAGGATATGGCAACATCCGAGTACCACCAGTCGCCTAGCAAGGTGTCAAAAACTTGATGACCCCCCCCCAAAAAAGGAAAAAAGTGATAAAGTACAGGTAGCCCTCGACTTACAACAGTTCGCTTAGTGACTGTTCGAAGTTACAATGGCACTGAAAAAAGTGCCCCCCAAGCCCCAGCTGAGCAAGACACCTGCCCACCCGGTAGCGCTCTTCCTCCTGTTCGAGGTTTTCATTGTTGTGAGCATTTCTGTTGAGGATTGGCAGCGGGGGTCGAGTGGGGGAGGTGTTTGGTTTTTATCCCCCCCCCCCGTCTGCTGGGTGGTTGCAGCAGGTTTTGGTCACTTCACATGACCCTGGGACACTGTGACCATCATAAATATGAATCAGTTGCCAAGCATCTGAATGTAAATCATAAGACCCTGGAGATGCTGCAACATTCCAGCTGATGGGCGCTTCTTCTGGGCTCAGCAGAAGCGCCAGGATCAGCGCCGAGCTCCAGCTGGAGCCTGGCGCTGATCCTGGTGCTTCCACTGAGCCCTGACAGCCCTGCAGCTCCAGCCGTCTCTCGCTCAGGCTTGTGTGGTGCTGCCACCGATTCAGCTCATTCCCCTCCCCCGCTACCACTTTTCTAGGATGGTCACGTACCACCTGCCAGGTGCCAGTGTCCCACAGGTGGTACCCGTACCACTGGTTGAAAAGCCCTGACATAGAAGCACGAGGCTTAACCTTAATGAAGTGCAATGGTTTGCTACTGTATATTATTCTTACCAGCTAACTCATGTCTAAATGTGGACCGTCCCTTGCAACAAACCTGGGCTGTACCACTTGCCAATCTGCTCAGTCCTAGGCTCTCAAATCCTGCTCTTACTCCCCACCCCCACCCCCACTGCTGACAGCAAAGGAGGTTTCGGCAGGGCTCTTTCTTTTCAGCATGGTCACCTGCTCACCACCATGGCTTATGAAGGAGGAGGAACTACTTGAAAAGCAGAAATGGAAAGCTCCAGCTTGCCAGAGGTCTATGTCACACCCGGCTGACCCAGAGCGTGCACATACCGGAGGGCAGTTCTGGAGTACTGCTGAGGGCTGATTCTGCTTCTGGTTGCCACTTTCGTGCTGAAAAAAATGGCTCTCAGATGGCTAGGAATCTGACAAGTCAGCATTACCGAAGTATCACAGCTTAACAATCGATGTCATCTACTTTGTTTCTGCCCCTACCACCCCCCACCCCCCGCGAACATCTGAATCCCATCTCCAGAGGCTAACCTGGTGCCTCGACCATTGGCCACCATCATGGACAGCTCTTCCTCTGTCAGATCAGGTTCTCCATCTGTATCATCCAGGCTGGAACTTGGCAAGTCAAACTGGGCAAGGAAAACAAGAGTGTTGGCCGGTATACACTGAGATCACGGGAAGCAAGACGGGGGGGGGGGGGGGAAGAAATCATACGCCACTAACGAGCCCAGGTACTGCCCAACCGGATCCCCAATCCCCCCAAAGGGACCATCTCCACTCCACCCTTTCTCTCACTTAGCGTGCACAGCAGCACCATTGGCACCTCACCTCCTCCTGGCCAGGACTCTCTGCGTGTTTCAAGCTCTGCTGCCTCTTGTACTTGCGCAGCAACTCCAGTTCCAGGGCTTTGACAGATGCCGCATCCTTTCGGCTGCCTTTCTTGCCCAGCTCCTTGGGACTCTGATCTTCCTTTTTGGCAGCTGCTGCACCGGGCTGGGTGACTCTCTGCAGGCCAAATGGGCTGCCAGTCTTCCCAATGTTCTGCTGGAATATATCCTAGAGGAGTGAGAGCACAAACGCCCCCAAGGAGGCATCACAAACCTCTACGTTGAACTGGATGCTACCACCCCTGCTGGGTTCCCACCACAGAAACACAGCTGCAATTTTCCTGGGGGGGTTGAGGAGAGGCAAGGCTTGCTAAGGTAAAGGCCAGCTCCTCCCCAGAAACAATGAACAAATACTGCCAACCGATAAAAGAGATGGAAAGGGCCCTCTGAGATTAAAAGCAGAAGGCAAAAAGGGGGTTCTTAACATAGGTTGCTTCAGCTTTTCTACAAGGAACCTGCAACTTTATGGACCTAAAACATACACTCTGCTCTCAAGTCCATCTGAGTATCACCTATGCAAGCTCGGAATTTGCCAAAACATATTACTAGACTCTTAGTGGATTTCTCTGCACAGACTCTCTTCTCATTTAGGGTAAGTAGGATAGCTGCTTAAAAATCAAAGGCTGCAGATGTCTGGTGCCACTTTGGGACAGAGAGAGCTAATTTGCAAGCCCTCTCAGATACACTGAGGGACCAGAATATGTACTCTGCGGTGTGGTATAAACAGCCAGGCTACAGACTCTGCCATGGCTGCTCTGAGCACACCGGGGACCTAAGCCAGTGAGACTTGAGACTACTGACTTCCGGTTTTGCGTTGGAGTGACATGGCTGAGGGATTGCAGAGCTCTGCACCCCACAGCTGGTTTCGCCCTGCCTGGGGACCCTAAATGGGTCTAAAGTCACCCCGGAGAGGTGACAAAGAAGGAGCCCCCCCATCGATCATGGAAAGATGGTGGTCGATCCATTTGATCTGGGGGAAGGCCTCCAACCCGACAGGAGAAAGGCTAGCTGCACTCCGGTGACTAGCCCAAGCTACCGGCATCTGAAGTCCCAAAGCAACAACTAAGAACAACTGTGAACAACGTATTTGGAACTGTATCTCCTTGCCTGCTGTTCCTTGCCTGAGTGCAGTTTGGGAATGGGTTTGCAGAAGGGATTCCTGCCTGCTAGGAAGCTGGCATTAGAATCATTCACGGGAGGATACAACTTTCAATTTCAAGGGACAAAGTAGGACTGATAAACAGTCTGCAAAATATCTTTATAAACACTCAACCTTGCAGTATCAAGCAACAGAGCCATATAAGTAAATTTTCTTGGTAGAAAATGAGTGGTTTTAAGCAGCAGAACTGCAGGATGCAATATTCTTGGCCAATATTCTTTTAAACAAGACACCAATCTATCCACAAAATCCAAATCAGGATCTTCTTAGGTTTAGTTGTAAAATGTGCACCAGATATATTTTGGCACTTTGCTTCCCACAGAGGTGCTTTCAACAGAAGAGAAGGAAAATTACCGAGCCTCTTGATACTCACTTCCACCAGTCGGATCTCCTTGGCCAGGTCTTTGATGAGTTGTGCTGGACGTACCGTCCCAGGAATTTCTTCTTCATGATCAGCCAAGGCCTGGGAAGAATAATATCTACTCTACTTTTCTCTGCAAAATTGAAACATCACTGAGGAGTACAAAGGCTTTCCCCCAATCTACTGCTTTCTAGATTTGTTGGACTACAACTCTTACAATTCCCTGCTGGATGACTGAGGTCATCAGCCTAAAGCTGAGCCACTCTGGACTGCTCCTGGCACAGAATATTCTCCACTATATTAGTCTTCTATTTCAAGAGAGAGGTCTTAAAGGTAGTCCTTGAGTTAGGACCATAATGGAGTCATAATGGTTGTAAAACAGGTCAGTCACATGAATGACACAATTCTACGTTTTTTGTGGTGGTTGTTAAATGAATGCAGCGGTCATAAGTGTGAGCACGACAGGTGTTAGATAAATCCACTGTTTGCTATGGCACGGTTTTGCCAAAAGCCAGAAATGCCAGGTTTGGGCAAAATGTTGTAAAATATACACAATGACCATGGGATGCTACGAACGGCCATAAATATGGCCACGTTTCCGAGCACCCAAAGTGCTGTCACATAACTAGGGGGGAGGAAACTGTCAAAACTTCGGGTCCAAGTTGTAAGTCCCCTTTTTCAGGATCTTCTGGGTCCTGATTGTTACCCAGCCCAAATACTAGTGAGTTCTTCTCTCAACCATTTACCTCCTTTTTAGTCCAGGAGCGGAAGGCTGTGTTGAGGGCTTTGGCCCCATGAGCCAAATAGGCAGCTGGGTGCCTACGGTTTTCTCGAAGGCCTGCCAGGAGAGAGAGAAAGAGAAAGAGAGAGAGAAAGAGAGAGAAAGAGAGAGAACATCAGTGGTGGCCATTCTCATGAGCCACAGGGAGAAGGGAGGATACTAAAAATAGGCATACTCAAAGCTCACCTCGGAAGATATCCAGGAGATGTTTGCCAACGTACCAACAGATAGTTTCGAAGTTGGGGAATTTGAAGAGATCAGCTGTGCTGAGGCGCTTTTCAATCTCGTAAGCCCTAGGAAGGAAGGAAGGAAGGAAGGAAGGAAGGAAGGAAGGAAGGAAGGAAGGAAGGAAGGAAGGAAGGAAGGAAGGAAGGAAGGAAGGAAGGAAGGAAGGAAGGAAGGAAGGAAGGAAGGAAGGATGTAATATCTTCCACAAAAAGGACATTGCTTCTGTAAATAATGCTAATTGGCAAGACTCCTCTCCTCAAATGGTTTGGTCAACAGCTGCTAATCAGAGCCATAAGAAACTATGTAGGCACTAAGCACCCATTCCTCTGACTTACTCCTGGTTCTAGTCAGCACTGCATTAGGCAACTAAGATTTCATGAGGCATTCTCTAAGGACTAGAAGCACAACCGTTAAAAAGAAACCCAATTCAGATAGAGGTAGTCCTCAACCTAGGACCACAACTGAGCCCCTAACTTCCCTGGCTAAGCAAGGCAGTTGTTAAGTGAGTTTTGCTCCATTTTACGACCTTGTTTGCTAGTTGTTAAGCAAATCACTGCAATCGTTAAGTGACTCATGCAGTCATTAAGTGAATCTGGCTTCCCCATTAACTTTGCTTCTCGGAAGCCAGCGGGGAAGGTCGCAAAAGATGGTCACATGACCCTGGGACAGAGCAACTGTCGTAAATACATGCCAGTTGCCAAGCGCCTGAATTCTGATCACATGACCATGGGAATGCTGCAATGGTCATAAGCGTAAAACCGGTCATAAGTCATTGTTTTCAGGGGGACTGTAACTTTGAGCAGTCACCAAACAAATGGTTTTAAGTTGAGAACTCTCTTTCCTTAATTCTTCAACCAATATTAGGTTTGGTATGCTTCTGGGTGTTTCTACTCCCACATCCAGGACCCTTTCAAAAAAAGATGTTATGCCAGGCCAGATCATTGCATTCTCTGCTTTAGTATCATCCACATTAATAAACAACAACTCTCTGAGGTTTTTTTTCAGAAGGAATCTTTCCCAGACGCAACTCAAGAGAAGTCAGAAAATGAACTCAGGATCTCCACCCTCTATTTCCGAGTCTTGGCTTTTCCCTGGATGATTCCCCAGATGCTCAATGGTGGCTAATTGCTCCCCTGCCAAGCTTACTTGAGCTGCATCTCAATGTTGAGACTGTGTAGAAAATTGCCCCCAAAGGCCAGGCAGTCCACAGGGGTCAGCACAGCATGGATCCAGCCTGAAAGAACAAGAGATGGTAAGATGGTAAACAGCTTCTCAGGAACATTGACAAGAGGGGAAACAGCTGTTGTTGGTCTGAAATGGCAAAGGGGAAAAGGGGCTTAAGGCATTTGCTACTCTACATGACCCAGCTATTATCTTCCATAGTTTCCTCCCTTCAGTAACACTGGGCAGTCAGTGTTACTGAACAATGCCATCCAAAGAGCAGGGCTTCTTGGTCATGTGTCCTGCTCCCTGGAATGGTATCCTTCCAGGGGGTATCCATGTTTCTCCCTCCCAGGCCTTGTGATATGGAGCTTATGGAGCTCGATGGATGGTGTTTTTGTTAGAGGGAGTGGGCTGGTGGAGATGTACAGGATTTTCCTCCTGTTTTTCTCTTTTTATTTATTCTTTTTCCTTGTTGTAAACCACCCGTAGTAATTTTGGAGTTGGGTGGCCTTTAGAACACAAAGAAACAAACCAACTAATGATCAACCTTTACACACAAGTAGCCCTTTCCCAAAGGGAACTACAAATTGTCACACAAAATGGAAGCCACAGGAAAAGAAGCGCCCCGGAAACAAGAAAATCAAAACAGGAGGAATGATGTCAACTGGGAACGATATATGATCAACCTGGTTCCCTTACCTGTTGGTATGAAGAGGGTCTGGCCCTGGCGGACAGGACAGCGATAGCACCTATCCACTTGGTCCCCAAAGAACATTTCATTCTGATTGGAGGAGCTGCTCCATGCCTCAAAGAGTGTCAGGTTGGCTGAAGTAGGACGTACCAGGTAGAAGATCTTCTCTCCCTGTGGGGAAGGATACAGAATAAACTGCCACACAGAGTCTCCTCCCTTATTCCAAAACGATAAGAGCTGAGAGAACAAGGCACACATAAGTAAGGGAAAGATGCAATAAAGCATGGAGAGCTGAGGGACTTTGGCAGTAATCTTTACATCAGTGATTCTCAACCTTGACAATTTTAAGGCGTGTGGACTTCAACTCCCAGAATTCCACAGCTAGCATTGCTGGCTGTGGAATTCTGGGAGTTGAAGTCCACATGCCTTAAAATTGTCAAGGTTGAGAAACACTGCTTTACATGGACAATTAGGCTGTTCCAAGGCTAGGAAAAATGCTGTTGGCCTCACATTTCAGAGGCAGCATTTGAAGAGTAACAGTAAGACACAGCCACCTTCCTTGCCTGTCAGCTTTCACTGTCCCACAGATAATCTTACCCAGTAATTTTACCAAGCTTTTTTTTTTTTAAATAAGATTCAATTTTTTTTACAGATGTTGGCACAGTTTTTTTTCCCATCATCTTTACCTTATAACTTATTTTCAGAACTGTATGTCCTTTATACATTAAGGAAATCAAAGACCAAGGTTACAGAAAGTCTGGGCCAAACACAGTTGAATTCTAAAGAAGAGGTGTGCTAAGTAAGAGCATCTGCGTAACTTTTTGTATTTTGTAGTTTATAATGAGAGACATGAAGATATACAGTGTGCCGAAGTTCAGTTTTCTGGCTGCTGAAAATCTCCGTTTTGCTTCTGGCTACAGCTGCAAATTTCTCAGGCCATAAGGACTAGTTTTCAAATGACAGCAGAGGTTTTCCAGGTGCTGAATTCCGCAATTATCATTCAAAAGTGTCTTTTCATGGCATAAACATATTTTTGCAATTGTAAACCAACATTTCATGGCCTATTCCAAACAGAGTCCAAAAATAACTCCTCCACCCTTCCCCAGACTGTGTTTTCTTTGCTGAATTTCAAGCTACCATCATCCCCAGAAACCTTTTTTAAAACACGCAGGTGCCTTTGAGTCAGTGTTGACTCCTGGTGATTGCCTGGAGCTATTTTTTGGCAAGATTTCAGAAATAGCTTGCCCTTGCCTTCTTCTTCTTAGGGCCAAGAGAGAGTGGCTGGCCCCAGGTACCTAGCTGGCTTTGTGCCTAAAACAGGACTGAACACATCACTTCCCAATTTCTAGTCTGATGCTTTAACTACTACACCAACTGGGCTCTCATCTTAAAACATGGGAAATGCATAAATTAAAACCATTACATTCCTTCTTCTGTGGATTCAGTATATTTTCTTCATACCGACACCTTCACAAAATGCCTTTAACAAGAATCCTTGTCAGAAACTAATGACAAAAAAAAATCATACTGGCTGTCAGTATGAAGCTGTGAATGGCAGCTGCATCCCAACAACCTGGGGCCCCTGTGGCGAGAACGAATGCAATGTTGCCTAGTTCTCGCTTGCCTTAGCGAAATTCATTAACTGATCTGACTCTCTGATGTGGGCTATACCACATCGGAGTGTAACTTTGCATCGTATTTTACTCTGCTGTTCCAACTACTCTTATTTTCCTCCTTCGATTACACCAGTACAAAAAAACCCCTGAAAACAAAGATGCAGTGATCAGCCGCCTGGGAAAGTCAAGGGAAATCGTCAAAACAATTAAAAAACGAAAATTAGAATATTTCAGACATATGATGCGACACCCAGAAAAATACAGCATACTCCATTTAATCCCCCAGGGAACGATTGAAGGCAAATGAGGTCCAGGCAGAAGAAGAACATCATGGCTTCAAAATCTAAGAGACTGGTTTGGACAAAACTCAGCAGCACTTTTTCGTGCGGCTGCTGATAAAGACAGGATCGCCAACATGATCGCCAACGTCCGATAACAGATATGGCACAAGAAGAAAGAAGAAGTGGGAAGGACCATTCAAACGTTCGAACATCCCCAAGGCATTCTGCCAGTTCTGAAGCTTTGCATAAGGTCTTCCTTCTATCCCATACATCAGATTCTTACCCGTAGGACATGATACCAGACAGAGGTGCCCCCAAAGTCAATGTGGAAGTCCGTATAGCTGTCCCGCACCCCCATCAGGCAGTACTTTTGTACGCTGGGGCGCTCAAAGACTGATTCCCCTGGCCACAGGTTCTCCACCCAGGACAACTTCCGCACAATCTTCGGGGTTTCCACCAAATTAGACAACCTGAAAAATTGCAAAGGCAAATAAACAACCTCATCTCCCTTCAAAAGACTCTCGAGAACGCTTTCAGGTGGCTGGTGGAGAGACTACTTACTAATACTTAAACCCATGGTCTGTTCCTCCCCCTCTCCCCCACTGCATCTAGGAAAATATGGCAGGAAGAAACATCTCCATCCTCATTTGTGAGAAAGGGAACAATTACAACTCAGTGTCTTCCAAATAATTATAAAAGTAGTGTTTGAGGTATGACTGTAATAGAGCTTGCCCAATATTTTGTAAGTTCTAACAGTTGTAAAATGGGTCAGTCAAACGACCGATCTAATTTTATGCTTTTTTGCAGTGGTCATTGAGCGAGCACAGTGGTTGGACATGTGAACATGGCCGTTGTTAAGCGAACCCATTATTTACTATGGCACAGTTTTAACTGCCTGACGCGGCAACTGAGCACCCAAATCGCAGTCATGGGACCCTGGGGGGAGGGGCTCCTGACCATCAGGATTTCGGAGTCAGGTCATGAGTCCCCTGTTTCAGGCAAGTCGTAACTTTGAACAGACATTAAGTGACCAGTTGTAAATCGAGGACTACCTCTTACTGATTGCTCAGAATGTTCAGCCAGTATTAGCTTTCACCTCCCATCTGAAGGTGGAACAAAATGGAAAACTTCTTGGTAGCCCCTTCAGGCTAAATAAAAGCGCTCGGGGAGTGGGGTGGGGAGATAATACATCTTGAGGCCAGAACATGGGAGTCTTGTAGATCCAGGTTCTCCAACTTGGGTGGAGAACAGAAATAACTAGACTGCTTTTGCAGTCTCATATGCACCTTTCCTTCTTACAACCTCTTTGTATTTTTTACCTGGTTTCTGAGAATTCCAGACTGATGACATTGAGCACTTTCTCTCGGCGGCTGCTGCAGTAGTAGCTGACAAAGTCTGCCAGGCGCATCTTGAGGTCAGCTTGGCGTGTCACATCAATGACATCAATCTCCTTGTCTGCACCTGTTAAGAAAGAGATATGCCTCACGATGAGCAAGTCAGCTAGGAGGAAGCAGCAGCAACGGCGGCTGTGTTTCCCTGAGTTACGCCCCTGAAATACACTGTGGAGCAAGCCAGCAAACTCATCAGAAGCTTAGTAATGCAAGCATCTCCCTCTAGTGGTCCTTTCCATCGGCACCCTGGTCAGCAACCGCTACTTATATACCCAAGGGCCAGAATGCCATTTTGTCAAAGGCTGCTCGACTACTTACTACCCTGTTTCCCCAAAAGTAAGGCCTACCCCGAAAATAAGCCCTAGCTTGATTTTGGGGGGTGGGGTGGGCCTAATATAAGCCCTACCCCCCAAAATAAGCCCTTTCAGAATTCCAAACCCTTCATTCATGAAATGCTCTGCATCTATATCACAACATGGGATGCTGCATTGATTGCCTATTAGCAAGCCATTCTTAGGGAGAGCCAGCCCACAAAAGCAACAGCAGAGCTTGTTCACTTTGAACAATAGCACTTCAGCTTGCAACATGGGAAGGGTTAGCCCAGGGGTAGGCAACCTTGGCTCTTTTATGACTCGTGGACTTCAACTCCCAGAATTCCTGAGCCAGCCATGCTGGCTCAGGAATTCTGGGAGTTGAAGTCCACGAGTCATAAAAGAGTCAAGGTTGCCTACCCCTGGGTTAGCCTTATGCATTGAAGAGTATGCTACACTCCATATCTCCTTTAGGGAAGGCAGGCAAGCTGATATCATCTATCATTTTCTGAACTGCAACTCTCATACTTACTTGCTCTTTGCTGGGACTGATAAAAGTTGAAGTCCAAAGCATTTGGAGAGCACTAAGTTGCCTTAATCTGCCATAAGTTATACCACATTTGAGGAATAACTGAGAAACAATGATGCCTTATATACTTTTTGACACTCTGCATCAACATGAGGAAACTCGGGGAATATTCCCAACAGTTTTTGGGAACTGCACGCTCCAGAAGATTAATAATAGTAAGTGAACTGACTTGTGGAGAAATGTAAAAAAAAAAAAAAGTGTTTTGCTTGGTTTTGACAAAGCAGCTACTTGAACCCAGGCATCAGAGCTTATTCCAGGGATTTTCAATCTATGGTCCGCAGAACCCTGGGAGGGAGGGGGGGCAAAATGTCATCACAGGGAGTTCACGAAGCTTTGAAGAAATGTTATGATTTAAATCTTGAGTTAAGTCTTGGTGGTCTGTAGCCGCAAAAGGTATTTAAAGGGGGGGACTGTGGTGAAGAAAAGGTTAAGAACCACTGGCTTGTTCAACAAGTTATCATTAGATCAAACCATGACTCAGTATAATGTCTCAACGTAGCCACTGAGGGATTGTAAAAAAAAAAAAAAACCTTCTGCAGAAGTTCAAGGGACCTTAGCCTACAGCTACACAATCACTGCTATTGATTGAAAGTCTCTTATTCATCTCTATGAACCGTAGTTAAGAACTAGCTGGTCAGGCAAGGCTAACCAACATCTATTTTCTTTGAGCAAAGTGTGGGTAAGCAATCTGGCAAAGGACCAGCACACCTCTCCGAGCAAAGGGCCCGTGTAGTATTTTCTCAGGTCTGGATTTATTGAATCCATAATCACAGCCGGCAGTTAGACTGTGGAACTTTTAACTGTCGAGATATTGTTGAAACAGAACTTCTAGCATCCTTATCATTGTCATTGCTGATTAGCACTGCTGGGAATTAAACCTGAGCATCAGCTCTGTAGCTATTTAGTACCATGTGCCTGAATTTGAGGATTGCTGTTAGTCAACAGTAGCCCAAAACAAACACGTACAAGAAACTATTTAATTCCTGTGCTGACATTCTGACCCAGTTATTTGGGTCTTTTATCTTTTTTGCTCTGTAAACACCACGAGCACAAATGCCTATGGAAAAGTGAAGCATGGAAGCTAGAAATAATATGTTCTTAGTTCAGTTTAATAACTCTTGCGATGAAAGAAACATTCATTTCCTTGTTAATCTTTCCAAGATCTCTGCGCTCTCAGTAAGAATAGCAATAGCACTTAGCAACAGCACTTAGACCAGGGGTCCTCAACCTTGGCAACTTTAAGACTTGTGGACTTCAACTCCCAGAATTCCTCAGCCAGCTTTGCTGGCTGAGGAATTCTGGGAGTTGAAGTCCACAAGTCTTAAAGTTGCAAGGTTGAGGACCCCTGACTTAGACTTATATACCGCTGTACAGTCCTCTCTAAGTGGTTTACAGAATCAGCACATTGCCCCCAACAATCTGGGTCCTCATTTTACCAACCCTGGAAGGATGAAAGGCTGAGTCAACCTTGGGCCAGTCAGGATTGAACTCCTGGCAGTGGGCAGAGCTAGCCTGCAATACTGCATTCTAACCACTGCGCCCCCATGCAGCAAAAGGTGAGAACAGATTTCTTTCTAGTGGACATGGAAAGGATAGCTTGACCTTTCTATATCTGCAGAAAATACAAATCTGTATATCTGCAGATAACAGAAAGAAAAATGAAAAGGAGTGAGAACAGAACATTTTGAGAAGGCTTCAGGAATATCTCCAATGGGATGCACTGAATCTGTTACACTGCACCGGTCACTGAATCTTAAGGATATTATAGAGCTAGAAAAAGTGCAGAAAAAAAAGCAGCCCCAATGTTTAGCAGGATGGAATACCCACCCTCCAAGAAAGATCCCAGAGATTATGTCTCTAATTTGGAATAAATTCCCTTTTTAAGACACTGTGGTTCCTATTCAGGGTAGAGTCAGGGCAATTAGATGGAGCTGAGCGTTGACTGGCCGGATACCCTTCCTGATGCCTATGCGGAATTCATAGCAGGTATTTTCTCTTTGTGCTTTAGGAGAGAAACCTCTGCCGCTAGCTAGGATCAAACTCTCAACCTTCCGACTGGGCGGCAAGTATCTTCACCACTAGACCACCACATCACACCAAGTCCCTAACATGGAATGAAGGAGGGTAAATGGATATTGTATAGCACAGGGGTAGGCAACCTTGGCTTTTATGACTCGTGGACTTCAACTTCCAAAATTCCTGAGCCAGTCCACGAGTCATAAAAGAGCCAAGGTTGCCTATCCTTGGTATAGCAGAACAAAAGATTTTGCATAGCACAGGTAACATGGACATATTTTTTCCTGCCTCTCTCTCTAGGATATCCCCCCCCCCCCCAAGACTAGGACAGTGATGGCGAAGCTTTTAGACACTGAGTGCCCAAACTGCAACCCAAAACCCACTTATGTATTGTCGGGTGCCGGGTGAGCGTGGCCCATTGGATGGATGTGGCCCATTGGGTGAGTGTGACTGCGGTGGTAACGGTAGACTGGGTGGGACTAAAAAGTTCAATCAATCAATTCCAACTTTGCGAGATCTTTTTTTTCCTGCGAGAAGTTGAAATTGATTGATTGATTGATTGATTGAATATTTTTTTTTTGCACACGGTGGCGGAGGCCTAAAGCGAAAAGGTTTTATAAAACCCAGCTGAAGGCCTAGGACTGGGGCAATGGCGCACATGCCCACAGAGAGGGCTCATGCCATAGGTTCCCCACCACAGGACTAGGAGAAGGAGAAACATTTTTACACAGCATTACTTCAATTATAAGATTCACTTATCAGCAGATGTAGGAACTGCAGCTAGTTTGGACTGCTCTGAAAGGGGATTGAACAAATTTAGGAAGGCTCAATGGCTATGAATACTGATGGCTGCCTCCTAAATACTAATCACCGTACCTTAAATACCAATTGCTGGGATGTGACAGTAGAAGGGATTATTATCCTCCAGCCCAGACTTGTGACCTTTCCAAATGCATCCTATCTTCCTTGTTTACCCACACAGCCATGATGAATTGATGTACTTGCAAGCCCAACAGTATGACCGCAACAAACCATGGCCCAATCAAACATACAGCTCTCTCCCTTTCTTAAGCTTTAATTTTTCTGCAAACTGAAGAATCTTTGCTGAGATGCAGTGACTGAAAAGAACCACATCCTTGGCCATAGTTCAAGTGGATACATTCCTCATTTAGTGTTGGAAATTGAGGGAATGAGCTTAATCTAAGCAGCCTGCGATGACGAACAGTGTGGCTTTGTTTCATCAATCTCTGATGAGAGGTCATTTGACCTCTGCATAGAAGGGAATGATTAATACTATTGCCTCATGCCTAATACTTCTGATATAAAGAAACAAATAATAATAATAAAAAATACATCCTGTCAGCAAGAAATGACCTTTAGCTTTCTCTTCGGCCTACGGCACTGGCTATAGCCTGCAAAGTAGTGGGAGGGAGATATTTTGGACTTCACTTCTCTCCAATTTAGCTAGTGGGGAAACAAATGGTGGGAACTGCCCTGCAAAACATATAGAGAGCTTCATGCTGCTGGCTCTTGCAACAGACTCTCCCTCAGGTCACCATGACAGTTTGCCCACCAACCAACCCACTCTCCTAGCACTCACCAACATAATGTTCCACATCACGCACAGTGAATGAGGCTGGAGGAAGAGTCATGCCCAGGCCATCTTTCTTCAGGACCAGGAGAGGCACACTGAAGCTGTTTTCCTCCAGGAACTCCACAGACAGTTGGGTTCCGCTCGGCTTTAGGATCACATCATCCGCACTGAGGAAGCAGAAAGCACAGTCAAACCAAGGTCACACATTGCTGTTCTCTACAGCATTCTTTTCCAATTTGGTATCCTCCAGATGCATTAAAACTACAACTCCCAGAATTCCCTGGTCAAAATGGCTCAAGTTGAAGGAAAGAACCAAAGCAATGGGGAGGAGGGGGGAGTACAGTATTGTAGTGCAATGGTTTTGTATAATACACACATACGCTGGGTGTTACACTTGTAAACCTGATAAACTTTGGCTGCCTTGTACTTCGTGACTGTTATAAAGCATGTGGTTTGACTCTATTTTTATTTTTAATTGGTTTTTTAATATCTAATCTCTTACTACTCTGGGTCCCAATGCAGTTATAAATAAAATTTATTTTTATTTAAAACATTTTTAAACTATGCTTCATTATTTGAAATCTTGCTGCAGCATTCAGTACACATTAAAACATTTAGCATCCTTTACAAACTGCCTTTCCTTTTATTTAAATTGGACATTTGCATGGAGGAAGAAACATAATTATTTTGATTCCTTTTCCTTCAGCAACTGTTTGGCTATGTCTTTGGAGACCTCTGTGCAGCTGCTTGTAAGGTGGGGCAGCTGCAAAGAGTCTCCCTATAGAGATAGCTATTCTAGTGCTGGAGGAAACAGTGACAATAGGATAATAAATTTCATATGGGAAAGAAGGGGATTTTTACCAAAAAGCAACCTGTTCTTCAGATTCTATCAAAATGGGTTATTATCCAAACCTATTGTTTAAATATTTTCCCCTCAAAGTAAAAGAATACTACTCTTGAACCTTTTTCAATAAAATCTTGAAAAAAAAATGCACCAAAGAAATAAAAGTATTTAATTGTTTCACCAAAGTTAAAGCAGCCTTGACATTATTGTCGGGCAAGTTTATTAATTCTACCCTGCCGATTGTTGCTATCCGAGAGACCGCAGATCAGTAAATCTTGGCAAGGCATTTCAGAAGTTGCAGAATTACAGCTCTCAGCATCCTTCTAAAGCAGGGATGTCAAACTTGCAACATCACGTGCATATCACGACTTTTTTTTCCATTGACGGCAATGGGGTGGGTGCGGTTTCACCATGACGCATCCGGCCCACGGGCCGGCAGTTTGACACCCCTGTTCTAAAGAAAAGCTAATAGTGAAAGCTGATGGAAGTTGTAGTTCATTAAATATTGCCCATTCTTGAGCAGAGGAATTCTTTTTGAACAAGTTTTACAATAAAATTGTCCCGAGGAACTGAAAGGCTTCAATTTAGCTAGAAATCAACCAGTTATCCCACAATATGGCTATTTGAAATGCCCTTTTTTTCTTTTTCTTTAATCGCTAAAACATCCATCAAGCGTGATCTCACCTAGGAAATGTCCTGCTGCGAAGTTCTTTGATGAATTGACTGCTACCGGTCTTCACCGTCTTGCCAACCTCTTTGTTCACAGAGGATTCAGACTGTTTTGGATTTCCTCGGCGCCGTTTCACTGAGGGAGGGAGAGAAGAAATCAAAATATATACACAAGCATATGGGCAATTCAACAAGAGCAGTGCAGAGATGATGATGTTGATGATATCCCACTTCTATTTTGCTCAACTCAAGGCAGTCAACGTAATGCTTCTATCTCCTATGAAGAATCTGGCAAGACAACTGATGAAGTAAGCCTGCCCAATATCTATAATCATCTGCCAGAACACCAACAGATGATTTATACATATAAACAATTGATTAAAAACAGATAATTTTGATGATTGCAAACCACAAGCTTGAAAAATGTCATCAGTATCAACTGGAATTTCAGAAGTCAAAAGATTTGCTGAAAAATTTTACCTGAGCTAACAAGTTGACTAGATCAATGAAGGCTTTTAAAAAACAGATTGTGCAATGTATGTTTATTATTTATTTGATTATATAATTACAATGAATAATAAGCACACAAATTATGCACACAGAACCAGATGGCACACATTTGCTCAATGTGCCTAACTGGGGTAGAAATGGCTGAACAGAATTTTTATAGCTGTAGATATAAGTAAAACTCTGTAGCTATTACTTGTTATAAAAGTCCAGGACCTGTTACTCATTGTAAAATAATAAGCAGGCATGTCAAACTCACGACGTCACGTGATGTCATGCAACGTATTGCGACTTTTTCCCCATTGCCGGCAATGGGGTGGGTGCGATTTTGGTATGACGCATCCGGCCCGTGGGCCGGCAGTTTGACATGCCTGCTATAAAGGTAAGGAAACTGGGCTAGGCATGCAGGAAGAGCTGTGCAAAGTTGTCAAAAAGATTCTCTTCAGTTTTCTTTAGCTGGCAGACTCTGTTCCGCTACAAATACGTTTTTTTTAAAGTTCTTGTTCACAAGAATTTGTACCATACACCATATATTTTGGCATTCGTAATGAAATATCAACCATGCAGTCATCAGTATGTTTGTTTACATCGTATTTTATCTTCTTGGAAGTGTAAAATATAAAGGGACATAAACTTACTGACAGACGGTCCGTGAAGCAGTTCACAGTTGGGGCAGTGATACAAGTCAATGTCAGCTGCCGCATCCTCTTCAACTCCAACGCAGCTTGAAGAGAGAAAGAAAATTGCTTACCTTGCTCAACACTGACTTTAAAAAGTTAGACTCAAGTATCCTTTTCTGAAACATCTAGCCTGGATGACAGCCCTGCAAAGATCCTGGAAGCTATCGCAATTCTGAATCACAGGAGGTGTAGGTAAATTCTGAATGTCTGTTCTGCAGGCCTAGTGCTTCTAGGCTAAAGATAGGGAGGGTGCCTGGGGAAGATACTGGAGGGAATGAGCACACCCTTTGCTTGATGGAGGATCTGTTTCTGATCCAGTCCAAGAAATATTTTCATATTCTAACCAGCATAATTCAATACCCATATTTTAGGCTTGAGACGAAGCATCAAGCAGTCCCCCTGAAGTTCAACTACTATCCAGATCCACTTTGATTTATCTGAACATCCTACAGAGTAAAGGCTATCATTCAGGAATAACTTTAGCAAAAAGTCATCTTCAGCATAAAAAGTATTACGCAAAAGTTGTCTGAGGTAGAAAGGAACAGGAAGTGGTGTGGAGTTGAAACACAACAAGAATAGGCTGAAAGCTGTTGTGCACGTCTTTAGTGAACATCTGTAGTGATTCTGCTTATCCTTGAGCGGGTCACTCCAGACACAATGAATGCCTGTTTATCTGAGGGAATGTATTTATTTCACTGTTTCTTAGTGGACCCTACTCAAAACACTTCGGTTGCATTAGGACAAGTTGCTATGCAAGCCTACTTCAGTCCAAATTGATTGGCATTATTAGGGCTTACGACAATGATAATGAACTCCCTCCTTTCAGAATTATGGGATACGATTCCCTTATTTCTTGGTTCTTTATAAAACTCCCTTATTTCTTGATTCTTTATATTGGGTTAATTGGGAATCCAACTTCATCACTTACCTTTGGTTTAACTCATCTTAGTTTTGTACCCAAGTTTTGTTGCCAAAAAAACCCCACCACATCTATATGAATCATGCCAGGAGCACCTTTATATAGATTAATCCTCTGACTCTCTAAATATTTGTTGCCTCTGACTACTACAAGCATCCCAATGTAGAGACAAGGGTACCATAGGGACAAGGGTTTTTTTTAACGCCTCATTGAAGTGTTTAACCACCCAATTTTTGCAACATGAATTTCAACTACATAAATCTTAGTCAGCTAAACAATTCTGAATGCAACCACCCGCTTAAGACTTAGTGCTATATGTTGCCGGTGCCCTGGAAAACGTCCATTTACATTAGCACCGAAAGAGAAAACAGGCTCAGGCAGTTCAGTGTGGCCAAGATCTGCAAACAGCAATTTCCACTCAGCATTTGTTTCTCACCTGCCATGGAACCAGTCCTGGCAAGCATCACACTCGATCATGAAGCGGGTGACATCGTAAGGCAGGCGACAGAGACAATACACTGGCACAGAGGCCATGGTGGAGGAAGGGGCTGCTCCAAGTTCAAGCAAAGGAAGACCCTCAGGAATCAAATGATATCAAATTGTCCGCTAGGGCAAGCTGGAGGAGAGGCTTCTCATGCCGAGGCCTGAAGGAAAAGTCCTGTCCCAGCTGGGGTTAAGTGAGGATTAAAAAAAATAAAATTCACTCACGCACACGCACCCAACCTCGCAAGGCACCAACTTTTGTGCAAAATGCAATTGTGACCCTGAAAAAAAGTCCGGCCGGCAGAAACAAAAACAAACCAACAAGCAAACAAACTGGTGTCCTCCGCAGATCGCCTCCGAAGCCGTTCCCTGACAAACCTCGCGTTTCAAGGGGGGCTTTCCCTAAGAATCCGAAATCCTCCGAAACATTTTTTCACCCCGAGCTCGCAACGCCTCCTCCCCGCTCCGTCCAGAAGTTTGCAGGCTCCTTTCCCCTTCCAAGGGGGGTGGTGGTGGAAAGGGGATCCCCGATCTCCCTCCCGAAATAAGGGAGCCTCCGTGCAATCGGCAGAACCTGCTTTCCCCTTCTTTCTTCTCCCACTTCGTCCCCGGCGGGGGGGAGACCCCTCAGCTCTTCCTCAGCCCCGACAAAGCGCGCTACGGCTGCCCCGCTCTCCAAGGACAACCTCTGAATTTCCTTCTCCCCGAAAGAGCGAAATCATTGTTTCCCTCCTTCCCTCCCTCCCTCCATTCCCATCCAAGCTCCCCCTGACTCCCACGATTTCGTCTTGAGGCTCTCCCTCTTTTAAATCAAAAGATTTCTCTCGACTCCCTCCCCCCTCCCGCCTTTCTTCTTGCCCCGGAGCCGAAGGCGGACGCGAGACTCTGCTGATTCGCACGCCAGATCCCGGCACCTTCTCCCCGGCGGAAGCGACAACGCCAGGACGGGGATTGAGGCCTTCACGAAGCAAAAGCAATTCCTCTAGGCTTTTCGGCCGCTGAAAAGGCCTCCGCGAGGCCTAAGGTCCTGGGGTTTTCTTTTCCAGCTTCCCAATAAAGTTTTATTCAAAACAAGGGAAGGGAGAGGAAGGGAATAGAGGAGGGGCTGGCGGCCATCTTAGGAGAGGCAAGGCATGGGAACGCGGGGAAGCCATCTTGAGAGTGGCGCTGGGGCCGCAAGGCAAGCAACGTCTAACGACGATTGCGGCAGCCATTTAGGGAAGCGGGTCAAGGAGAGAGTTCTACCATAGAGAGAAACGGAGCGGCGGATAGAGCGCCCTCAGACGCCGCGAAAGAAGGCGGGATATTTGGGTTATTTTTGAGACACTGGGGATAAATACCGGAAGCGATGGGAGATCCGGGTTTTAGTGTAGCGCCGAAGGATTGTCCCTCCCGGAACTCGTTTCGTGCCTTGAGAATACCCGTTTAATCATCTAGGTGTCAGCCTATATTTTCAAAATTCAGTCCTTCTCTTTTGCGGGGGAAATGCCGAGTTCATTTCGTGGGATTTACGACTGCATGGAACATATATGTATGAAACTGACTCTGCAGGACCAACTGAAATAGAGCATGTGATGGAGCTTGGTGTGTGCGACAGGTTTAGGAGTCTGCTGTGTGTGTGTTTTATTTTTATTTTATTTTTTGTCGATCTGCGTGTACATGACTGCCTAAACGGGTTCCTATAGTTTTCTTGGCAACATTTTCAGAAGTGGTTTGTCATTGCCTTTTATTCTTTCTAGAGCTGAAGGAGAAGGATTGGCCTCAAACTCAGTCTCTAGTTTCCTAGCCTAAACCAAACTGACTCTTGTGTTACAATTATTTTAGGGTAAAAGGCAGAATGGGGTTGATGGACAACACAAAAAATAAATTTAGGATAATTTGGGAGTTAAAATGCTTGTAAAAAAAAATTGCCCAGTCTCTAACCTTCATTTTTCAGGTGGTCACGCAGCAGCTTCAGAGGATCCTCAATGAAGTAGATTATGCGGACCCCTTTCAGTCTGGATTCAGGTCTGGTTACAGGATCAAAATGGATGGGGGAAGAAATAGTTTGTCCATCCTTGCTCTTCTTGACTTTTCAGCAACTTTCAATACCTTTAAGCCTGGTAGTTTTCTAGATTGGCTGCAGGGATTGGATGTGGGCAGCACTGTATTATGCTGGTTCTTTTCCTTTGAGACCAGTTCCAGTCGGTGGTGGGGTGTGGGGAGAGTGCCACATTTGGCCCGATTTGCAGGGTGTCTCAGTGCTTTCTCCACTTTTAACATGTACATGAAGCCATTGGACAAGCTTATCCATCAGCACACGATGAGGTATCATTCAGGATACAGATACTCAGCTTTTTCTCTCTCCGCCAACTTCCCTTTTTAGAGAAGTTTATAGAGAAAATAGTGATGCTCCAGTTTCAACAGAAAGTTGATTATTTAAACACTTGTTAATCAAGATTTAGGCAATGGCACCATATTGAAATTACCTGGGTGACACTGATGGATGATTTGTGTTGCACCTTCAGGGTCATTTTCAGTCTTTTAGAATGAATGTACTGGTTCAACAAGTTTATATTCTTCAAGATTAAAGAACTAGATGGGAGATTAAAGGCAAAAAAAATCTTCTAAAAAGAACACTAATCAGTTCTCTTCAATCAAAAAAATACACTCGCTCATACAGGCAGAACAGAATCAGAAACAGAAAAGCATAACAAAGGGATAAATTTTTTCTATAAAACAACCAAGATTCCATTCTATATCTAATTTCCTGTAATCTTGGACTTCCGGTTTTGCACTGTAGCACACGGCTGAGAGATTGCAGAGCTCCACACCCCACTGCTGGTTTTGCCCTGCCAGGGGGCCCTAAATGGGTCTAAAGTCACCTTGGAGAGGCAACAAAGAAGGAGCCCCCCCCCGTGGACCATGGAAAGGAGGCAGTCAATCCACTTGATCTGGGGGAAGCCCTCCAACCCAACAGGAGAAAGGCTAGCTGCACACCAGTGACTAGCCCAAGCTACTACAGAGTGAGAACTATATTTGTTTTAAAAATTGCTGACCTGGGATTATAAATACTGAGCTGTGATTTCTAAGCTCAAGAATTGTTTGCAGAGAAAGAAAAACCTTGACTTTTGGCTAATCTTCTAGGGGGGAATTTACTGGAAAGTTCCTAGGTGGTTAAACATTCTGGACTCTAAATCTGACTGGCTGATAATTGTAAGACCCCTGAATAGAAGAACTATTATAAAATACTGTTTTTATTGTGCTTTGATAATTGGAAATGCATTGGATTATAAAAACCATATATAAAGGTAAGAACTATGTAAGATTTGGTTATTTGGACTTTAAGATTGGCTAGTTTGAAAAGGTTAATTACAGAGACTATGGAACCAGTGAAAGACTATCTGGAGGGAACAGACAAAATGGTTGTTACATACCTATCAAAAAGTGGCAGGAAACCACACCTAATATATCCTTCTGAAGGCTCTAGCCTGGAACATCAAAGATCTGCAGGAGCAATATATCAAGACAAGGCAAATACTTTCCAGGAGGAAATGTATGCAATGCTGTGACAGATTCAAATGACAATGGTTTCAAATCATGATGAGATTAAAAACAACTTTGACAACATAAATGAACATATCTTTAACTTAAACCTACAATTAAAAAACTCAGAAAACAACGAAGAATGAACAAACAAATTAGATAACAGAATACAAACTAGAGGACAGGGACCCAAAGAGGGAAGCTACAAATGAAGAAAACTATAGTCTAATACAAACAAAAGAAAACTTGCAAGAAAAGATATCTTATTTTTCAGAACTTCAAAATAAACTTGAAGATAGGAAAGAAGAACTAATAAAATGGATTATAGAGCAGCCAGGAGAATTATTAGAATTTGGGAGACAAAAAACACACATTCTACCTAACTTGTCTTTTCTATTCCCAACAACATTCACAAAAATACAGGATGAATCCCCTGGCAAGCTGAATACACTGACTTAGAAAATTACTTCAAAAAAGAAGAAGGCTAGAGTTAGATTCAAGAGATTTGATTCGACCTACCAGATGGAGTACTATATGATTAAACACTTGTTTGAATATGGTTAAAAGAATAGATAAATCATGGATATAAAAGGGCCCTACAGTAAGAAGGATAAGATATATAAGTAGTATAGTATTCTTTATAATATATGAAATTTAAAAATATTGGGATGGTATATGTGAATGAAAAGTTTGGATATTTAAAGGTAATTAACATTGAGAAAATTATGACTGATAAGAATGGTTTGACTATAGAGGGGAAATTAAATAAGAATCTTGAAAACAGGATATATAGTGACTTAATGACTTTTATGAATATAATTGAAACATAAGCGGATCAGAAAAGATGTTATATGCTGATTAAGAAAAATATATTCAACCGTATATATATTGAAAGTATTAAGAACTATATTTGCTTAATGTTGATAAAAGGAGAATATTGGAAGAAGAGAAGATCAAAGAAATATATCATTAATAGATTGATTATGGAATTATAGAAAATATTGTTTTTTAAATATATGAACCCAGATAACACGCTGTTTACTAAGCACTAAAGATTGTTATTGTAAAAAAACAGTAAAATATATTAAAAAAATAATTTCCTGTAATCTGTGGGTTGCTATATTTTTTTTGCTAGATTTTTGAGGATTGGAACATTGTTGCACAAATTCTAAATATGAGTTAGAATTGGGGCCTAGAATTATGTACTGGTGATCCTTATGACTGATAACGTGTTAGGTTTCCCAGCAAGGTTAAAGTGTCATCCGTGTTTCAGAACAGAAATCAAGAGTGTTTTTCCCACTCTTTAAGATTAGATTTCAAGAGTATCCCTCTTTCTATAGCCAAGCCAAGTATTCCACCTGTATTCAGTAACCATCACAACACTCTAGCTAATTAAAGGATAGACAATGATAATTCATTGTCCATTACCATAGAAAGATTGAGTTAAACCATAACAATCATTTTCCAAAAGATTAGAAAATGTGGGCTTAGTTATAACAAATTTGGTATTTGTGGTACTGTCTTTT